TCTCAAAAAAAAAAAAAAAAAAAAAAGAATACCTCTCCTCTTTGGCTTCCCCTCTGGCTGCCCAGGGAGGAGGACAGTGGAGAGAACAAGGCCTGCAAAGGTTTTTCCAGGCCTAGACTTCACATAGTCTACCCCTGTTCAGGACTTAGGTGTTTCAGGCTTAGCCAAAGGGCTGGACACTAAGGAAGGCTAAGGCATGCAGTCATGCCACGGCTTCAAAAGACCCAGACAGCTGGGCGTGGTGGCTCACACCTGCAATCCCAACACTTTGGAAGGCTGAGGCAGGAGGATTGCTTGAGCCCAGGAGTTCCAGACCAGCCTGGGCAACATGGCAAAACCCTATCTCTACAAAAAATACAAAAATTAGTGAGGTGTGGTGGCATGGACCTATAGTCCTAGGTACTTGGGAGGCTGAGGTGGGAGGATCTCATGAGCCCAAGAGGTCAAGGCTGCAGTGAACCATGATTATGCCACACTCTAGCCTGGATGACAGAATGAGACCGTATCTTGGGGAAAAAAAAAAAAGACCCAGGCTCCCAGGCTCACCTATGGCAGGGACTTCTTTGAATGGTGCCATCAACCACACTGACATATGACTCACTCTGGCTGAGCAGTGGTTGAAAGCTTGGCCTGGCCACGGTAGGCAATGGGTGCTGGTGGCCTGTCTTTGTATACCTGTGAACTAAGCTGGGGCATGTATGGCCTTTCTTCTTAGATTACCGAGTGTATGCAGCAGGTGGGATGGGCCTGGACCTCCGTCCACACAACCACCTCCAACACTATGACATGCTCAAGGACATGTGGGTGTCACTAGCACCCATGCCCACCCCGAGATATGCTGCCACCTCCTTCCTCCGAGGCTCCAAGATCTATGTGCTTGGTAAGGACAGGTTACTGTTCTATACCTCCCCACTTCCTTCCTTTGGCTCAGGGCTCAGTTCCCAAGGGAAGCAGTGCCTGTGTGCTGAGCATCTCCTCAGCACTGGGGATAATCCCACTGCCAAGCCCACCAGCAGCACCCTGTATGAATGAGTAACTGTCAAAAGTGGAAACCCTTTTGTTCTCCCTGTCCTCAGGGACAACTCTTCTGCCCAACCTCTGTCCTGCTCTGACCCCCAGGGGGACGACAGTCCAAGTACGCGGTCAACGCCTTCGAGGTCTTTGACATTGAGACTCGCTCCTGGACCAAGTTCCCCAACGTTCCCTGTAAGCGGGCCTTCTCCAGCTTTGTGATCTTGGACAACCACTTGTACAGCCTGGGAGGCCTGCGGCAAGGTCGCCTCTACCGACAGCCCAAGTTCCTGCGGACGATGGACATGTTTGACATGGAGCAGGGTGAGCGGGTCACCATCCCCAGGAAGCTCTGGCTGCCCACCACCCTTCTGGTTGGCTCCGCCTCCCTTACCCCCATCCCAGCCATCTTCCAGGGCCATTTACCCAGCTGGGCAAGCTTCTCAGAAGTCTGAGCACCCCTCTCCACTCAGGGCTATTCTTGGGATCAAATTCTTTCATTGGTGCAGGTCTCCTTTTTGCTTGGTTGGTTGTTTTTTTATCAAAGCCTTTTCTACCTGTATTGCCTTTTCTTACAATATTCACACAGGACCAGGTCAGAGAGGAATTTTTCTTACTTTTTACTGATGGAGCAACAGAGGGATCCTGACTCCTACCCTCACTGCCTCCTAAGCAGAAGTCAAGGTGATTTCATTGTAGGGGATGGTGGTGCCCTAGAGAGCACCAAGCATGGGAGAGGTGGAAGCCACAGAGAATTTCAGACAGCAGGAGGAACTGTGTACTCCTCAAGCATAAAGGATCAATGAAGAGACTGCACAGGGTGAAAGCTATTTGGGCCACAATCTGTATTTGGTGGGAGTGGTCTGTATGTTATTCTGTCTATATATCCCACCATTATCCATGGCCTATAGGAGGATGGCTGAAGATGGAACGATCGTTCTTCCTCAAGAAGCGGCGGGCAGACTTTGTGGCTGGTGCTCTGAATGGACGGGTCATAGTCGCTGGGGGACTCGGTAAGGATGGCACTTTCAAGCTGGAATTTATTGTGGTTCTGACGCTCGGTGGATCCTTGGCAGTTCGCATATGCAGGAAAGGGTACTGGCTCCTTGCATACCACCTGTCCACACTTTATTCCAAAAAACGCAAAGCACTCCCTTCCTCCCAGCTTGGATATTACCTATCCATATATGGGCCCCCGGTGTGGTCTTTCTGTCCTCTTACACGGAGAAACTGTGATGCAGAGAGAATAAGGGACACCCTTAGCCATGCAGCGTAGGCTTGCTGAGCACAGATTTCTATCAGGGGATGACTGGAGATAAAATGTGGAGGGGATTAGCCTTGGTCCTCCTCTGACCAGTCTCTTCTCCTTGGATACCCAGCCCAATCATGGAACGGGAAAGCAATCTGATTGAATAAGTTCAACAAATGAATCTTGGGTTTCGTGTATTAACTCTGCTAGAGATTACTGGTATTTTGAAGGAGGGACTCTAAGGTGAAAATTCCCCCATCATCAAAAAGAGAGATCAGGCAGCAGGGCTTCCAGGTACCCAGGTCTACTTAGCGTGGACAAACTCCCACTTTACTCATGCAGGAAAGAACCAGGTGAGCTAGACCATGTCAGTAGCTTTTTTAATCAAAGGCAGCAATGAAGCAGTAGTGTGCGAGAAAGCTCTAGTAAAAAGCAATGGGTAGGAAAAGAAAGCTTACTCTTAAAGAGACAGAAAGACAAGAAGAAGGCAGGAGGGACAAAGTGGCTGTTTGACAAAAGCCACTGGCTTAGTAAAGGGAGTAATCCTGTAGCCAAGGAAGGTGACATTGCTTGGCTTCTGCTTATGGGTGCCCAAGAGAGGGAGGGAGGTGGGGTGATTGTGGGGCATGGATTGGACTCCTTCGTAAGGTCTGATTCCCTTGACACTTGCAGGGAACCAACCCACTGTCCTGGAGACGGCAGAAGCATTCCACCCAGGGAAGAACAAATGGGAGATCCTCCCTGCCATGCCCACACCCCGCTGTGCGTGCTCCAGCATAGTCGTCAAGAACTGCCTCCTTGCCGTGGGAGGTGTCAACCAGGGTCTGAGTGACGCGGTGGAAGCCCTGTGTGTCTCTGACTCCTAGCTGCCCCTGGGCCCAGCATCTTTGCCCTGGACCATATCACTTCATGCTTGACACAAGGAATGATCTTGTCCAAGCAGTCGGGGCTACTTCCCAGAATGTCAGCTCCTGTTAGTAGCCAATGGCATCTGGCCTTGGGGCTCTAAGTGACCTCTCTATAGCTCCAAATCCAACCAATGTCAGAAAACTGTAAGAGGCGCAGATGGTTCTACCAGCTGCAGAGCTGACTCTGAAGAGAGTCTCCACTTACTGCACTGGCACAGAAAGGCACATGATTATCTCCCTCCTATGAGTCCCACCTCCCCTGACCCCCGTCTCCAGGAGGCAGCTAGAGCAGTTCTGACTGTGAGGATCAGCTGCTATTGCTCTTTCCCCAGCTCTGAACTACGGTAAAGGTCTCTTAGGATGAAACATGGAGAATGATTGGGGCGGGAGTTCCAAATCTCTTTCTTCTCCCTTGGTTTATATCTCTTCACCATTTGGTGGTCAGCTGTGGACCTGCCCTGGACCTCATCTACTCAGCGAGAACTGGACATGAAGCTAGAGGCAGCTGCCTTGGAAGGGAAGTCGGGCTCACATGGACGGCCCAGACCATACCAGGAAGAATCCCTTCGTCTTGGAAGGGGCTCTAAGTGAGGAGGAAGGGGCGGTCTCCCAGCCCTAGGTCTGCTCCCCACATCTCTCCTAATTCCACTTCACTTCACCTTCTGCCACCCCCTCCCCACCAGAGGCCTAGCCCTTCGGTCACCGAAGGCCCCCAGAGTGTCTCTGTGTGAAACCCTCTCATTTACACTGTGGCATCAAAATCCACAAAAGATGGATTAATTGCACTCTGGTTAATAGCAGCAGCACAATGATTAAAATCTATATTCCTATCTTCTCTAGCACCCTGGTGTGGGGGTGGAGCAAAAGGGTGTCTTGAGGAGCAGGAAGGACCGCACAAAACAATCTCTCGGGCATTCTCAGGCTAAGTAGGGCACCCAGTGACCATCTGTTCTTGGCTGTCCCCTCTGAAGAGCTCTGCCTCCTCACAGCCACCACCAGCAGCCCGGCTCCCAGGCAAACAGCACATATTCTTCTCTTGCACTGAGACTGCATGTTAGTCTTCCATTCAGAACCCATCATCAGCTCAGTCCTTCCTGTGTCTAGTCTCAGTTCATTCAGCCAAAGCTCACTTTTGTCCTATCCAAAGTAGAGAGGAAACTGCTCACTGATTTTCTTTTAAAAACTTGAAGAATGTGCCTCCTCTTAGCATCTGTTTCTGACTCCCAGTTATTTTTAAAAGCTGTGCTAGCACTGGGGACACAAAGATGAATAAAATGCCTGCCCTGAAGAGTTCTGGAGGAGTCAGGTGTCACTCATCAGGTGAGAGTATGATTCTTTCTCCAGGAGGCAGGAACAGAGGAGGATCACCTATCTGGATCTGAGGGGTCCAGGGAGCCTCCTGGAGGGAGAGGGTGGGACACCTTCAGCTGGATCTTCAAGGACAAGTGAAACCTGGGTCTTTATGTGATACAAATTTTTTTTTCCCTCCCTTTCTCTGGGTTCTTGGACTTTTTCCTTCATTGGGTCCAAGACGGGCACTGCCACCTGCTGGCCCCCCATTTCCTTCCCATGGTCACTGCTGCCCCCTAGTGAGGAGACTGCAGAGAGGCCTCCCCTGTTGCTTCTGAGTCTCTGCATTTGAGTTCAGCCCCCGAAATAACAGAGAGAAACAGGAGCTGGAGGCACTGCAGATACTACAAGGGGTGATGGAACTGTGCATTGGGGGAGGCTCTTCTAAAGGCCAGCCTTTGTACCGTCTCCACAATCCCCTACCCAAGAAAGATGTTTCACAACAGGGGTGCTTCCACCCCTTCCAAAAGAAACCCAAGCCTATAGGAGGGGCATTTCCAAGCACACAAAGTGGTCCCATATGCATGGATAGGGATGAGATTTTTTTTTTTTTTTTTTTTTTTTTTTTGTGACAGGGTCTTGCTCTATTGCTCAGGCTGGAATGCAGTGATGTGATCAGGATTCACTGCACCGTCAACCTGGGCTCAAGTGATCATCCCACCCCAGCCTCCCAAATAGCTGGCCCTACAGGCACATGCCACCACACCTAGTTTTTTTTTTATTTGTTTGTTCATTTTTTAATTTTTCTGTAGAGGTGGGGTTTCACCATGTTGCCCAGGCTGCTTTCAAACTCCTGGGTTCAAGTGATCCTCCTGCCTCAGCCTCTCAAAATGCTAGATTACAAGCCTTGGCCACCATTCCCAGACAGTGAGGCATTTTTAAATGGTCAGACAGAACCTTAGGGGTACAGAGAGCTCTAAAATGTTGAATTAGCCACTGGAATTGTGAGGGCAACTCAGGGCTGGAACTGGTATCTGCTGAGGACTCACCCCTTGGAAGTCCATTCTGGAAAGACTTTAGGGGTGCCTCACTGAGGAATGAGGGAAATACTGAATGTCTCTTAAGCCATGTGATTCTGTCTCACGGTGCTGCACACGCAGGACAGGATCTGGGGTCGGATGGCCTGGCCCAGGCCTCACTCCCCAACCCCCATAGGCTTTCCCATCCCTTTCCGCTGTGGGAAGGCTCCTCACCTTTCCTGTCTTCATTTCCCAATCTACACAACAGCAATAATAATGCTGTCTCACTGGTGGTAAGGCACCTCCTTCAAGCCTGGAATCAACTCCATGAGGTAGGTAATATCCTTCCATTTTGCAGATGAGAAAACTGGGGCTCCAGGGTCACAAGCTCCTAAGTGACTGAACCAGGTCTGATTCCAAAACTTGTGACCACAGCACTGCATTGCCTCACATGAAATAGCACCAGGATAGCCGAGCGTCATGGCACATGCCTGTAATTCCAGCTACTCGGGAGGCTGAGGCAGAATCGCTTGAACTCGGGAGGCAGAGGTTGTAGTGAACCAAGATTGTGGAACTGCACTCCAGCCTGGGCAACAAGAGCAAAACTCTGTACAAAAAATAAAAAAATTTTAAAATTAAAAAAAAAAGCTGGGGTGGTGGCTCATGCCTGTAATACTAGCACTTTGGGAGCCTAAGGCAGGTGGATCACGAGGTCGGGAGTTCAAGACCAGCCCAACCAACATGGTGAAACCCCGTCTCTATTAAAAATGCAAAAATTAGCCAGGTGTGGTGGTGTGCGCCTCTAATCCCAGCTACTCAGCAGGCTGAGGCAGCAGAATTGCTTGAACCTGGAAGGTGGATGTTGCAGTGAGCCGAGATCTGGCTGCTGCACTCCAGCCTGGGCAACAGAGCGAGACTCTGTCACAATAAAATAAAATGAAATAAAATTAAAAATAGCACCAGGAAAGGAAAGAAAATCAACTGCGCTATACTATGTAGGAAGTTCAAGGCCGGGCGCGGTGGCTCACGCCTGTAATCCCAGCACTTTGGGAAGCTGGGGCGGGTGGATCACGAGGTCAAGAGATCGAGACCATCCTGGTCAACATGGTGAAACCCCATCTCTACTAAAAATACAAAAAATTAGCTGGGCATGGTGGCGTGTGCCTGTAATCCCAGCTACTCAGGAGGCTGAGGCAGGAGAATTGCCTGAACCCAGGAGGCGGAGGTTGCGGTGAGCCGAGATCGCGCCATTGCACTCCAGCCTGGGTAACAAGAGTGAAACTCCGTCTCAAAAAAAAAAAAAAAAAAAAAAAAAGACAAAATGTCCCAAAACCTGGAAGAATGGAGACTGTTTAAGGAATGAGTGTGAAGATTAGCAAGGAAAGCGTGAGAAGGGCTTCCTCATGTAAAATGGGCAAAGATTATTACTAAATGTATACCCCTATGAAAGTTCCCTTCCAACTTTTTCATTCCATTGGCTATTCCAAACCATTATCTAATATTTAACACTATTCTGTGCCTGACATGGTGCTAGATTCCTGCCCTACAGCAGTTACAGTCTAGGGAGGAAGACAGGGGACCATGGCTGCAGTTACCGTTAGATCAGTGTCAGCCTTTGCTAGTGCAACTCAGAGGCACCCCACTCGGTGGTTGCAAAGAGCTGAGGTGAACTGAAGAGTTCAGTGCAGGTTTCCAGGAAATAAATCTCAAACTGCACTTCGAAAGAAGAGGGAGGCCGGATGTGGTGGATTACCTGAGGTCAGGAGTTCAAGACCAACCTGACCAACATGGAGAAAACCCATCCCTACTATAAATACAAAATTACCTGGGCATGGTGGCGCATGCCTGTAATCCCAGCTACTCAGGAGGTTGAGGCAGGAGAATCGCTTGCACCCAGGAAGCAGAGTTTGCAGTGAGCCGAGATGGTGCCATTGCACTCCAGCACCCCAGCCTAGGCAACAACAACGAAACTCCATCTCAAAAAGAAAGAAAGAAAGAAAGAAGGAAGGAAGGAAGGAAGGAAAAAAACGGAAGGAAGGAAGGAAGGAAGGAAGGAAGGAAGAGAGAGCAAGAAAAGAAAAAAGAAAAGGAGACTAGCCAGGCAGAGGCAGATGATCACAGGCTTTGCAGCAAGAAAGATGGGTTGAAATCATGATTGTCATGTACTAATTGATCTTGGGTACATTACTTATCCTCTCTGAGTCCCAGTTTTCTTATTTGTAAAATGTGCAAAATAAGGTCTCACGTATGAGGCTAAGAGCTACCTGCTTATAAGTAAAGTGACATGTGTGTGTTCAGTGAGTAGCTGCATTGTTATTTCATTGTTGTTGAAGGAGAGGTAGAGACGTTCTCAAGCCCACTGACGGAAAGGGTTTGGCTTATCTGGAGAAAACAATAGTGGAGAATGTAGTGGGAGGAATGGAAAGATGGGGCTGGAAATGCAGGCAGGCCGAACAAGAAATGCCTTACTGTACGCCTTGCTAAGGAGTTTGGAGTTTATGCATGTGGGAAGCTAGGAGTAAATTAAGGGTTTTAAGTGTAAGAGCAGTGTGATCAGAATTGTACTTCTGTAGCATGGGATAATCTGAGTTCTTTTTCTAAGGAATAGGAAGTAAGTGAAGTCACTAAGGCATCATCAAAGATCAGAAGGAACGGCTGGGCATGGTGGCTCATGCCTATAATCCCAGAACTCTGGGAGGTTGAGGCAAGCTGATCACCTGAGGTCAGGAGTTCTAGACCAGCCTGGCCAACATGGTGAAACCCCGTCTCTACTAAAAATACAAAAATCAGCCGGGCATGGTGGCAGGCACCTGTAGTCCCAGCTACTTGGGAGGCTGAGAGAGGAGAATCGCCTGAACCTGGGAAGCGGAGGTTGCAGTGAGCCGATGTCACGCCCCTGCACTCCAGCCTGGGCGACAAGAGCGAAACGCTGTCTCAACAACAACAAAAGATCAGAAGGAACCCCAGCTGGGGTTGGAGTTCTGGGACAATATGCAGACCAAGCTTTCCAGGCCTTCTCTTGCAGAAGGCTCATCTGCTTCGCAATCAGAGAGGGCCAGGAGGCTCCAGGACTGCAGGAGGATGGACTAGTCCACGCCCTCCATCACTTTCTTTCTCCCAGGATTTTTTTTCTAACAATCTCTTGCATTTGCACTGGGTTTTATGACCTGCAAAGCTCCTGCATGGGAGGTAAGGTACAGTTAGACTTTTCCAGTTACCATTTTACAGAAGAAGAAACTGAGAACTGGGAACCCTGTGACTAATCCAGGTGGCACAGCTAATAAGTGACAGGAATGAAAATCTAAGGCCAGGCATGGTGGCTCACATAAGCTGGACACAGTGGCTTACACCTGTAATCCCAGCACTTTGGGAGGCCAAGGTGGGCGGATCACTTGAGGCCAGGAGATGAAGACCAGCCTAGTCAACATGGCGAAACCCCATCACTACTAAAATACAAAAAATTAGCTGGGCATGGTTGCAGGTGCCTGTGATTCCAGCTACTCAGGAGGCTGAGGCATGAGAATCCCTTGAATCCAGGAGGCAGAGGCTGCAGTGAGCCGAGATCACGCCATTGCACGCCAGCCTGGGCAACAGAGCTATACTCCGTCTCAAAAAAAAAAAAAAAAAAAGGAAAGAAAGAAAATCTAACGGAGCTCGGTGTACAGCGACCCTCTCCCCATCACCTGCTGCTGTCTCTGAGCTCTATGGTAAAGGGAATAGCAAGGGAGGTCAGTGCATCCATCCAAGCTGCCCTGTAACCTACGGAACATGCCCAAAGCTTTGAGCCAAAGGCCCCCAGCTTGAGAGAGAACATGAGATCAAACATGAGTGAGGGCAGGAGCTTCATGTCCAGATAAAATACCTGCAGAAGTACAACACAAGGCAGGAGCCAGGCGAGAGCTGACCGGTTGGCACACAGAGGGACCCAGGCAAGCTGGGCAGATCAAAATGACCATATGTATTAGTTCCTTATTGTTGCTCTAA